GAACTAACTGAAATGGAAATTAAGAAACCAATCCCATTCACAATTGCTTCAAAAATAATAAAATGCCTGGGAATAAATCCAATCAAGAATGTAAAAGCCCTGTACATGGAAAGTTATAAGACAGTGAAGAAAGAAACTGAAGATGATACTATTAAGTGGAAGCACATACCATGTTCTTAGATAGGAAGAATTAACATCATTAAAATGTCTACACTACCCAAAGCAATATATAGATTCCATGCAATTCCTATCAAGATTCCAATAACTTATTTCACAGAACTAGAACAAATATTTCAAGAATTTATAAGGAACCACAAAAGGCCCTATATACCAACAACAGTGATCCTGAGAAAGGAAAACAAAGTTGGAGGAATCATGCTACCTAATCTCAAATATTCTACAAGGCCGTAGTAATCAAAAAAGCATGGTACTGGCACCTAGATCAAGGGAACAGAATAGAAAGCCTAGAAATAAACCCACACCTTTACCGTCAATTAATATTTGACGGAGGAAGCAAGTACATACAATGGGCTAAGCATAGTTTAGTCAAAAACTGGTGTTGGGAAAACTGGACAGATAGGTGCAGAAATGTTAAACTAGACCACCTGCTTACACCACACACAAGAATAAATTCAAAATGGATCAAAGACTTAAATGTTAGACCAGAAACTATAAAAATCCTAGAAGAAAGCAGGCAGCAAAATCTTGGGACATTCCTTGTAGAAATTTTTCTTGTGTCTAACTCTCCAGGCAAGGGAAGCAAAAGAAAAAATAAACAAACAGGACTACATTAAACTACAAAGTTTTTGCAGTGCAACAGAAATCATCAACAAAATAAAGAGACAACCACAGAAAGGGAGAACCCATTTCCTGATACATCTGGTAAGAGAGTAATATCCAAAGTTTATAAAGGGGGAATAGAACAACTGTAACAGCATAATCAATGAAAAAATTAAAAAAAAAAAAAAAAAAAACAAAGTTTATAAAGTACTCACAAAACAACACTAATAGAAGAAGCAACCCATTTAAAAAATGAGCAAAGGACCTAAATAGACACTTCTCCAAGGAGAACATACAGATGGCCAACAGACATATGAAAAGATGCTCAAGGCCACTAATCAACAGGGAAATGCAAATTAAAACCACAATAAGATACCTTCTCACACCTGTCAGAACGGCCATCATCAGTAAATCAACAAACAAGTGCTGGCATGGATGTGGAGAAAGGGGAACCCTTTTGCACTTTTGGTGGGAATGCAGGTTGGTACAGCCACTGTGGAAAGCAGTATGGAGATACCTCAAAAAATTAAAAATTGATCTACCTTTTGACCCAACAATCCCACTTCTGGGAATATATCAGAAGGAACCCAAAACTCTAATTTGAAAGAACATAAGCACCACTATGTTAACTGCAACCTTACTTACAATCAGCAAGATATGGAAGCAGCCCAAGTCTCCATCAACAGATGAATATATAAAGCAACTATGGGACATTTACACAATGAAATACTTCTTGGCTGTAAAAAGACAATTTTACCCTTTGTGACAGCATGGACAGGCCTGGAGAACATTATGCTGAATGAAATAAGCCAGTCAGAGAAAGACAAATACCATACGATTTCGCTCCTATATGGAATCTAATGAATACACTGAACTAACAAGCAAAGCAGAGGCAGACTCATCGATGGAGAGCAGATGACAGCCGGGGTGGAGGTGAGGTTAGGGAGTGGAGGGGCTGAACAAACAGGAGAAGGACTCATGGACGTGGACAACGGGGTGGTGACTGCTGGGGGCGAGGGGGTATAAGGGAACTAAATGGTAATGGAAAAAAATACAATAAAGATAAATAAAAAGATGCAGTTCTGTGAAGTTCAATAAAGTGTTAAGAAAATGAAAAAAAAAATAAAACAAGTCATAACGAGGGCAAAGAAAATCACTAATAGAGCACCACAGTAATAACTGCTACAGGCAAGATCCCTGACACACGGTAAAAATAAGTGGGCCAAAGTTTGAGGAGAACCAGGATATTTGCATATTATCCAAGTATTTTCCCCAATATAAAGACAAACAGTAACCTTGTGGTTACCACCACAACCGAGTGATGGAGGTTAACATCACCTGTAATAACTGTAATAGAAGACATGGACACAATGCCCCTGCTGACTTGACCCACTGAGGAGGGCGCGGTCACCTCTGTGCTACTACTGCCTAAACGTGCGGCCCTCATGCTAATCCTGAGCGGACATCGGCCAGAGCAACACTGAAGGACAGTGTACAAAAACAGAGCTATACTCTGTCAAAATGTCAAGGTCATGAATGACAATGAAAGGCTGAAGAACTGTCATAGACGGCAGGAGACTAAGGAGATGTGACGGTTAAGTGCAATGTGAGATCCTGAATTGGATCCTGGAACATAAAAATGGTATTACTGAAAAAAAACTGGTCAAGTCCATGTAAAGTTTATAGTTTAGATAATACTATGGTACCAATGTTAATTTTTTTTAAAAAAGATTTATTTATTTCTAGGGAGAGAGGGAGGAAGGGAGAGAGAGAGAAAGAGAGAAACATCAATGTGTGGTTGCCCCTCACGTGCCCCCAACTGGGGACCTAGCTGGCAACCCAGGCATGTGTCCTGCCTGGGAATTGAACCAGTGACCTTTCAGTTCACAGGCTGGCACTCAATCCACTGAGCCACACCAGCCAGGGCCCAATGTTAATTTCTTAGTTTTGATAACTGTACTATCGTCTTGTAATGTTACCATTAGATGAGGCTGAAAGAAGGATTACCCAAACTCTATGCAATTTTTCCATTTTTTTGTTAAAACTAAAATTATTTCAAATACATAAAAAGTTTCGACAATTCCACTTGTAGGTACACACCCCAAAGGAGTGAAAGCAAGGACTCAAGCAAATTCCTGTACACCAATGTCAGAGCAGCATCATTCACAACAGACAAGAAGTAAAAAACAAACAACTCCAAGGATGGAAAGATAAAAGGTAGTATATACTCAGAGAACAGAATGTTACTCCCTCTTAAAGAGAAACGATTACTCCCTTTAAAGAGAAGGCTCTTAAAGAGAGCCTCCTGACACAGGCTTCCACCTGAACAAGCCTTGAAAACATCACGCTAAGTGAGATGTGCCAGTCACGAAGGACAGGTACTATGTAATTCTACTTAGGTACCTACAGTTTGTAAGTTTATAGAAAGAAGAAAGGTTACCAGTGGCTGTGGAGAGAGGAGGATATAAAATTACTGCCTAATGAGTATAGTTTATGTTTAGGATGATAAATAAGTTCTGGAAATCACTGATGGTTAGACGACATGGTGAATCTACTTAATACCAGTGAATTGTACACATAAAAATCATTAAAATGGTCACTGTTACATTATGTATATGTTATCACAAAAAAGTAAAAAAATAGAAAATTACAAATAATTATACTACGTGAAAAGAAATAGAACTTCAGAGATTTCCTTTGCCTAAATTAAAACGTAGGGATCATTAATTTGCTCATATTTTCATCTCATATTTTCTATCCCAAATACCAAAGCTGTACAGAAGTCGGCCACACTCGAAGGCAAAGATCCCTCCATTCAGAAGTTCTTAGTGCCGGGAGCTCCTTTCCAGGCCTTCCAAAGAGCACACTCTTCAGTGCCAGAATGCAGGTGGGCCCCAGGTGCAACTCAGGAATGACCTTCCCAAAGGAAATGGCTCCCCAAAATGAAGAATTCAAATTTGTCACATTAGTAGAAGAAAAAGCAAGCAAGTAAATTCCACCAGTGAACCCTTGTTATCTCGGCTACACGTTCAGCTTTTTGACGATCATCTATGGATCTTGTTGCTCTTCCTCCACCTCCTTTGGCCATTTCAGCAATGATTAGGAGGTTCAAATAAAAGAATTCTCAAAATAAACAACTCTATAAATTGGTAGGATTGCTGATAAGTAAAGAGTACTCATGGAAAACGCATTTTTTGTAGTATCTAGCGGCGGGGAAGAGTGGACCCAGAGACTTCCTCCCCCTATACCTGAATAATAAAAAAATCAGTGTTATGGTTTCTTGCACACGCCAGTTTCTGAGCAGAAAAACACCCAGCTTGATCACTCACAGGCTCTAAAGGAGGTTTGTTTATTGCCCCAAATCGAATCTGACTGCCTCCAGTGGTGATTCATTATTCCCCCCTGTGGATTTTCAAGAGGATCCAATTCAAACAAAGCTTCTGCAAACTGCGGGAGCAATGGCAGGATCACTTCTGAGGGTGGTGCCTTCTGAGGGTGGGCTAATGTACCAGGCACATTACTTTAGTCACCCACCATACATCCTGTTTCTCAAGGTGGATGGATCTTTTTTCAAGGACCCCACAACTCATGGAGAGTAGGTCCTTCAGAAATACCTGGTAACCAGTTGACTTCCTTATTCCATAACTCTAAACATTCAGAAAAACAGAGTTCAGCTAATTCAGCTGGGGATGTCTGTTTGAATTAAGGTAGTTGGGGCAGAGTGAAGAAAATCCCACACTTTGCCCGGACTGGTGTGGCTCAGTTGGTTGGGGATTGTCCTGCAAAGTGAAAGGTTGCGGGTTTGACCCCTGGTCAGGGTATGTGCCTGGGTTGCAGGTTTGGTCCCTGGTTGGGGCACATTCAAGAGGCAATTGATTGATGTTCCTCTCTCACACTGATGTTTCTCTCCCTCCTTCTCCCTCCCTTGGCCTCTAAAAATAAATAAATACATACATACATATAATCTTCTAAAAAAAAAACCCACACTTTGTGGAGAGGCAGAAATAGATTCAAATCCCGGTACTGCCAGTATCTAGAGCTAAGGGGTGGCATCCTGCGCTTCCTCTCTAAGGCCCTGCTCACACTCCTTCCACCCACCTGTGTTAAGTGAAGTTGATACCACCTGCTGTCCAAGGCTATCAGCTTAAATGGGCCCCTGGCATTCAATAAATAGCCATTATCACATTACTGAACGTAGAAGGATTTTAAGAGATGCTTACCTCTCTCAGCGTTGGTTTGCCAATGAAAAAGTCAGTGTTTTTGCTGCTTTTGGGTGGGTTGAACTTGGGATTCAGAAAAGCACATCCATTTGCGATGGCCTCCAGGGGGGCTGGGCCCTCGTAAGGGAACCCAAGTCCAACAAACAACTACAAGACAGAAAAGCACACCACACGTAAGCGCATCAATCAGAAATGGCGTCCCTGGCTCACAGGGGGCTGTTCTGTGTCCCATTCCTGTGTGGAAGCCTGTGTGGAAACTTGGGAGGGTCCTCAGGCCCTGGCGGGTGGGGCCAAGAGAAGTCAGCTCCCATGGGGACCAGGGACCTCTGCAGGCTCAGGGTGCTGCTCAGGTCATTCCGTTCTCCTTTGAGTAAAAAGTAAAGAAGTGTTGGGATGGGCTGTTGAGGAAGGAGGAAAGAGAGGGTATTAAAAGAATAAAAACAACAACAAAACCCAAGACCCAACAATCATCTTTCTGTAACTCGCCAGGAGACATGGTTGGAAAAACACTTGCTTAACTAAACAGAAGATTTCTTCATTGAACCAAAGGAACAATGGGCCCTTTCAGTGATGCTGGGCAGAGGGACAGAAAGGTCACTTGGTAGTTTGATTACAGTTCAAACGGAGCTGCTTTACAATGACAGTCAGTCAGTAAACACAGGTTTTCATAATGGGGTTTTCACTTGGGGACACCAACATCTTGGTTTTTATTTTCCCCTCAATGCGCCAGGGTGCCAGGCTGCTACGCAGGCAGGGCTGCTTCCTCCTCCAGCAGGCAAACGTGGGCTTTCCCCACAGCAGACAATAGATGGCAGCAAAAACACACCATCACAGTCCTCCTGGCAACTGCAGCCAGAGCAGCTGTGACAAAGGGGACTTGCTGCAGTTCAATGGCACCGATTCCTGGGTCCAGAAATGAAATAGCTCATAGAAACGCCTCACTGTGACTCCTCACCACAGGACATTTCACACTGCTGAAGGGCTGTAGGTTAAAGATGGGCAGGGTCCAAGCCTTGGACTTGGTGAGCTGTGAGCTCTCCCTACCCCCATAGAGAGCCAGTTCTGAAATCACTCCAGCCTCGGGAGGCACATCAAGTGACAAAGGATAACTGGGCCCCAGGGCATTGTTTCCTTCTGCCACCACACTGAGGAACACCTGACTGGCCAGGCCGGGGAGGGAAGGGAGGACAGTGCAGAACTGGATAAGGCTGCGAGCTAGATTCTCCTTCCCCAGGCCCGCCCGACCCCACAGCAATCCTGCCTTTGCAGCTGCTTTAATTGAACGATTATTAAGAGTGTTCTGCTTAGAGAGCCCTGAGTCCAGGCTGCTGGCTTCCCTGGGCAACAGTGGAAGACATAGAATGTATATGTTGGGCACACAGTTCCAGGGCCAAACATTGAGCGTGACCCACATTGGACATACTGGACAGTTATGTAGCCCCTGTGGGGATTTTTCCATGGCAAGAAACTAAACTAAGATCTCTGGTTTTCAGGAGAGATTCTTTATCCTATAACTGTGTGTTCTTTTGCACAGGACAGGGTACTTAACCATTTTGTTGTTTGGAGGAATAAACTTTCATTTCCCACAAACATTTAGACCACTGGCTACACTGTCAGAAACATCCATGAGGGCATGAGGCAGGGATGTTTAGGGAGCAAACAGGCTCTGCGAGGCCAGCAGAGCTCGTACTGCTGGCTGGGTCCCTTCTCTGTGGCAGAACCACTGAACACACGGGGGTGGAGGGATACACGATGGCAAGAGCCTGCCAGCTGTAAGATCCAAGGTGCATCTCCATGCTGTTTGGAAGCCCTGTGTCTGGGTCTTACTATTATTCTGTAGTTAACAGGAGTGAGATTATCAGAGAGAATTTTTGTGTACAGGGTGTGGCCCAATATGTTCCTCAATGGGGCCAGGCCAATAGCAACATTAGAAGTGGCAAGAAATGGGGAAGTATTAGTCCCGAGACATCCCAGCTTTGTTGAATATGAAGATCCAGGGCTCCTATCCTTGAGGCTTTGATTTCTGTGATCTGTCTTCCCATCTGATTTTGGGGAGATGTACCAGCTGTCCAGGGGAAAGACGACCTCTATCAGGCTGAGGCTGGGCACAGGAAGGCACAGGGCTCCCAGATCCCTTTGAGAAGAAGGATGCTGGAAGATGCAGATGACGTTTTCATGCAGATGGGTTTGATCTGAGCCTTGAGCTCAGTGTTTCCTGGCCTTTGAGAATCAGGGCCTGCCATTAGGAGCTGATACCGTCATCAACTCTAAATTGCAAAGAACTTTGGAGGAGATGCAGGAAGCACAATGCATGTCTATTTAAACAGAAAATCCTGGAAAAAAATTAATTAGCTCCTTGAGACCAACCAATCTGAACCCATTAATTAAAAGGATTTGAGGCTCTTGCTTAATGGACTTGAATGTGACCTAGGTTTAATTATATCTGAAGAACAATTTGCACCATCTCTTCTGCCCTCCTGGCATTGGAATATATCAGTACACAGAAAATAAACACTTTGGGCTAACTCTCCAAAGCCTCACAATTTTAGAATGAAGCTTAAGCAAATATCACACAATTTCTTGGCAATGAGTTTTCTCATCACACAAATTAGAAATGCATTGCTTGGAAACAGAAAATAACAATTTTTTGTTCTGTCAGTAAGCAAGAAAAACTTGCATTCATTTCCTTTGATATGATAATGGACACGTGAGGTCAATCAAAGAGCACACTTGAGTTTTAGAGGAGGGCAGAGAGAGTTTCATCACCATCGAGGGCCATTCCATAAACTTCTGAGTGCTTCCGGCTTTGCCACACACTGTATCTTAACCCCACCAAATCACTTCCCCCCTGAATCTCCCACTTCGCCTGTCGTGCTGCCCACTTTCCGACTTCCTTAGCATGGGGGAAAGACACACATTCCAAGAATGCATTCAAGTGCAGAGGCTTAAGTCTCGGGAGGAGACCCGGCATCTTTTATTCATGCTTCATCTGGCCATCGGTAGCCCAGAATCTAATGAGGATATTCCAGATGACAGAACAGCACCATGGCTGCAACTTCGGCTCCATCAACGAGCACTTCTAAACAGAGGAATTACATGCTCTAAAATTAAATTTCTGAACTAATATGAAGCAAGAGAGAACAGATGAAGCACCATATGTTTTATTCATGGCACAAGACTGGGACATTCCTATACATCAACAAAAGAGTTTCAGTGAGACCACTCTGTGGTGAAGAGTGTTTACTCTGTGTGAAGAGAGAAATGGAATTGTTTTAAATGCACAAACAGAGTAGTTAACAAAGAATCCTTTAAGCATGGACAAAGGTAGTTCTTAGGAAGACTCCATGGGTTTGGTCAGTTTCCAGTCACTTTGAACATGAAAGATGATCCAAAATAAGAAATACGCAATCAACGTACACTTTTCTAGTTTTAAGTTGCCAACCTGGTGGGGTGGCTCAGGAGGGAGTTTGGGTAATGAAGCACCTCAGCTTCTCCATTACACTGATCGCTGGCACGAAGCCATCAGGACAATGTGGTGGTCACCAGCGCAGGCTCTGGGACCAGGGCGACCTGGGCTCCCATCTCAACCCCATCATAGCCTAGATTCTGAAGGTCCACTTATCATCTCTTCTCTCTAGCTATGGGACCTTGGTCAAGGTGACACAAGCTCTCTAAACCTGTCTTTTCATGTGTAAAATGAAGGAAAATAGTGCTGTATTTCATGGGGCTGCTGTGAAGATTAAATGAGATATTTTATGGAAAGGGCATATTCTAAAGCCTGGCATATAGTAAATGTTAACTCGAGAGCAGTTCAAGTTTAAATCCAGGCTCAGCTTCACACAGCTACAGATACATGATCTTGTATTGGTCAGTGGGAGTGAAGGTGTGTAGGGGTTGTGGCTATGGGTTTTTAGAATATGTTTAGCACCCACCTGTGCATTTATGAGTTCTCACAGTTTCACAAAGTACCTGGATTAAAAATGGGGGAGGGACATCCATTAAAAGAGAGAGAGACCACGGTTTACAGTGACTGCATCATGGAAACGCCAGTCCCATGAACCACATGCTGTCGCTAAGCTTTGTTTGATTTTTATGTAATGATCAGGAGTCATTATATTTCTGGTGTCCCTTTTATATCTTTAAAAAAGAATCCACACAATGGCTAGGTATTGAGAAAATTCATTTTCCTGATAGGTGATGCTTTCATGTACGCAAAGGCCCCCTCTTTGACCACCTGTCTTCCCTGTTTCAACCAATGCTGTGGGGAGGCAACAGAGCCATTCTCTCCCACACGGGTTTGGCTGAATCCTCTCGTGGGCTTCTATGAGCCGCCGACCTACGCTGCCTGAAAATTCTCTCATAAAGAGCCCGAAGAGCCAAGGAGCCAAAGACAACTATCCTTGTAAGGTGTGTTTCAGCACCCAAACTGGTCTGCTAAACCAAAAACTATTTCCTGAGACCAGCTTACTGGAGAGACTCCCAAAGTGAGCCCAGTCACCTAAGTGGCTTTTCAGGAACAAAGCAAAACACAAACGTCATCACGGAATCTAAAACTTCCTGCACTCCCATCCGTCCTTTGCAAAGTCCAGTACAGGATCAGTCGGATTTAGAATTTGCATTGCAGATGGAGATGGGAGAGTAAGAGGATATTTGGATAAATGTAAAACTGTGGATGCTGACCATCTCTAGCCATGCCAGCAGGAAGTGTATGCCACTAAAAGGCAGCTCAGGTATCACCTCCTTGGGGGGACATTCCCTAACTACCCCATCTCTCACCCAGATTCCACACCCACTGACCCCTCAGCCCCCGACAGTGAGCATACAACAAGCCTTGTCACTACCTCATTAAGATGGGTTCCCAGGGCACTGTGATCAGAGGAATTCTGACACGAAGAGATAATTCACGGACAGGGCTTACTGTAAGGGGCAGCAAAATGGCTATTGTATTAAAACCCTGTGGCCGTGCGCACCTTGGTAAAATGAGTATGCTGAATGAGCTGAAAGTGGCCGACAACCCCCTCTACTGCCCCCAGGTGAATCACTGACACCAGTCACAGGGCAGCAGTTTACCAACCAGCCAGTTGACCCTGCTCATGGCGCCTTTGGGAGGTTTCATGCTGGTATCACTGCTTCCTGTCATTTCTAAT